AAAAAAAAAAAAAAAAAAAAAAAAAAAAAAAAAAAAAATTACGAAGGGTTAAATATCTCGGTCAAATTTTATCCTTCACACCATATGGGAAAGTCATTGTCATTGTACAGTTATACGTATAAAAATCATCAAAATTTGTTACGCGCTACAGTAGGTGTATTCAAATGTAACCTCTGTCGTAAAGCCTGTATTCAGAGTCAGCTCTTCGTTTTAAGCACGATCTTAAGACATCCTCCACCATGTGTTATTATTACTATATGTACGGTCTTAATACTGAATACGGACCATAGTACGTGTATCTAGAGACTTTTTAGTCTATGGCGAAAAACTGTACTAAAATTTTGTACCACGCTAAATTTACATCGTGAACTAATATATGTATTAATAAACAAAATTTTTGTGTTTATTATAGTATTATACACGTTCTTTATTAATTTTAATATTTTGTCTCGTAATAATACATTCCAAAAGAAACAAAGACCAAAGAATGTACGGAGTATAGAGTGGAACGTCGAATAAGAATAACAAGATTATATTAGGTGCGGCGCTTCCTTTCTCCACGTGGCTTAGTTCATGATATTGCGCGAGCATTCGCATAACCCACAATGTCAATGTCAATGCCCACTCGTGAAATGCAACCGCATCACGAATCATGGATTATTTCTCTTGGAGAATTCGTGAGGTAACTGAAGTGAGTGGTGGCGTGTTATAAGATTCGAAGAGGAAAGAAAGAAAAAAAAACAAATGACAGCAAGGTACGTTAACCTATATTTTAAGCGGGATTAACTCGATCAAGAAACGTGGGTTTGGATCGATGAATGAAACATTTTGCAAATTCCTCGCACAGGAACCGTTCGTACGTGAGACACAGTTTGAATAAAGATTTTGCCAAATCTTCATCCGTTTGCAGTTCGATATGTTTGCCTAGCTTATTAAAGATTCTAGAAGCGAATAAATTGAGCCTTTGGAATTCGCGGGAGGAACTAAATAATTTTATTGATACAACGTACACGTGTATCTGTTACGTTTAAACAATTAATTAGAAAATTAGATTTAATAATGAATCCTTCATTTTCGTACAAAAGTAGTGTTTTAAGTCATTTCGATCTTTCATATCGGCCTTTGACAGAACGTCTAGTCGGTCATTGTCTTGTTAATGGGGATTACTTTTCATTGTTTTGTTAATTGGAAAACTTTTCTTACCAGACGATACTTAAATTCGTTTATAAATATTTTAATCTTTACGGTTCAGTCAATTCGGTATTTCATTCGTGTAATTCACTATCAATCATGAAATAGGTTAGATCATGAAATAGATAGATTGGCGTATAGCGTTATTCGGGAGTATTGAACCAGCTTGTCAGATCCATCTTCAGACGATACAATACTCCCGAATAATAGTCTCTGACAAGAACATTGAAATGTAGTTATTACTTTTGTTAAACAAAAAAAAGAGTCGGATATACAAAAAAAAACAAATAATTTTTAAATTCCATTTCACATGTTTTCTCTATATTTCACTGAAATTTTTCGCGTTCTTTAATACAAGATTATTATGGAAGCGTGCAGTTAACAAGGGGTTCTTGAGATCGGTTCCGATCGTGTCGTTATTATCTTATCGATTTATTTATAAACTAATTGACGGGTATACATGTTCAGCTCTTTTTAGTTCGTCGTTTTTCAATGCATTTTCTGGTAATAACTTCGGAAGTCGTCGGCAGACTGAGTGATCCTTTCGCGCATGATCTGTTTGGAAGTTGGACAGAAATTGCTTGATTGAAAAAAAAAGAACATAAGATCGATAAGAAACTATTTCTTCTTTTTTTTTTTTTCAAAGAGTTTAGTGAAAAGCGACGAAGCATCGCAACTTTAATATTTTATACCTGCTGTTACCGGTGGGTACAATTTTTTCGTCTCTATTTTTTTTTTTTGAAAATCAGTTGCTCTACGCTTCATATGGGTCAAGGCGTTGAACTTCTTTTAAGGTCATTGACACGAATACTAGGACCAATCGTCATTATGTTCCAACAGAGTTATCTAAGCCGATTGAAAATTACCTCAATGATTGTTAAAAAAAATTCTTCCTCTAACGTCCTACATGTAATTTGCGAATTTCCTGTTATCGTCATTATTAACCAAATATCAGCCGTCATTGTGTTAAAACGTGATTCAGCAAGGTGGGCAAGGATTACCGGTTTTTACTAAACGAATTTCAAATTATATATTCGTAACGGATTACGAATTGGCTGCTTAAAGATTTTTTTTCGCATTTATCTCGAATGATACCAAATTCTCACGTACGGCGCTCGGCGAATCGCATGCGATTAATTGACAATTCAGTAAATCGAACGGTACAGTTACTCGCGTCATCGAGTCATCGATTACTCGGTATCGCCTAAGGTTGATTCTGTACACATGGGGTATTAGTAAAAAAAGAATCCAATAAAATAGCACGAAGTTACGTAACAAAGTAACCATTAGAAATTCCAATTTAATAATTTCATATAATACGTTTGAATTACAGGTATCATTCCCACTTGACAACGTATCACCAACAAGGATTCTGCGGATTCTGAATTATCATCATCATCCACGTTTTATGGATACTCTCAATGACGGCGATCTTCTCTTGACTTACTGAGAAGAGATAACTGATCCCACCTCATAAGGTGTACTGAACCTGCCTATTATGCCGGCTTGATGCAAGTGCAACCTTGCAATTGAAAGTTGCAAGGTCGTCTTCGCCTCATACTTCACTGTACGGCTCGGGACAACTTAACTCTTCTTGGATTCTTGTGTTTCAAGCCGTCTCCGCCCCTCTCTCTCTCTCTCTCTCTCTCTCTTTCTCTCATACGCTTTCGTTCATTTTCTTGTTTTACGTCTCTCTCACTCAGATTCTTATCCCCGTACATTTACCTTTAAAGGATACAATCATATTTTCTCTCGTCTCCGTTCATCGGGTAAAGCCACATTGTAATTGAGAGAATACTTGTAAAATTGCATATGTAAATTCCTTGCTCCTTTACTTCACTTGCAATTTCTACCCTTGACCACTTTTCATCGTACAAACTGACTAGGAGAGTTCAAGGTACGTTAGATAAAATTCTTAACTGACTTGGATCAGTTGTAAAAATGTTGATGTGGATTTAAAAAGAAAAATTTCATAAAAATTGTCTGCTACTAATACGGATTTAGAGATGTCACGTGCTTCTTAGATCCCTAATGGACCTGATGGATATTTGAGGATCAGGATAAGATACTTGTTAATTGCATTTGGACATCTTTTTAGGCTTGCAATTCACTTGCAATTTTTACCCTTGACCGTCTTTACCGTACAAGTCGACTGAGAAGGTTTGTTAAATAAAATTTCTTTTTTAGATTTACTATCGTTAATACAGATATATAATTTTTGTATTAATTTGTTTTTAGATCGTCGATCGACCTGCTTGATATTTGAAGATGGAAACGAGGTTTGAGAAAAACATTCGTTTACCGTAAATATCCTATGATCCAGACACAATGAAGCTTTGGGAACTTTGAGATCTGACTGTTTTCAAATGATCGAGTGCAATTACGTATTGTCAACGGATGCGAGCTGATATGAAAAAAAGCGTGAGAAGTAAGAAAAAGAAAAGGCAATAATATAGTACGAAAAAAGGAAATATCATCTAGTGTGAGAAGTAGCCGTTGTCGACCGATACGCCATTGATGATTGTCAGACGTGAAATTTGACTCGTAGAAAAAGTTGCGATTCTCGAGGAATCCGTTGGTGAGTTCGAGCACGATCAATGCGAATCAACTGACGACAATGGCCGTAGAGACTTAACGAGTAGCGAGCATTTCCATTGAAACTTAGAAATACTTGAATATCTAAGATAAATTTTTTCATCAGAATCATAAGGTAGAACCAAATCAATCTATACAGATACTATATACTTATATATCATATATATATAAATATATCGACCTCATGTAATCATATGTCACCGTGAGGCTTAACGCTCATATCAGTCTTAACTACCAATATGTATACACGTTGTGAAGAGTTCAATGGCAATGAATTGCATAAAACATGAACCTCTATCTATATACAGTTTCACTGATTTCTCGTATCAAATACACTTACTCAAAATACACCGTATAGATTTTACTAAAGGAACTTAAGACCGACCAATGACTCGAAATTCCTAGGAAATATTTAAAAAATCCCAAAAATAAGTTTTTTTTTCAATCAACATAAATCAGTTGCACCTCTATCGTTATTGAAGTTAATTATTGAATTGAATATCGTAGCCTGAATTAATTTATAAAGATACAAAATTTCTTCATTGTCTTTCACTTACCTTGTGGCGGGATGAAAAATTTGGAAAAAAAAATTCCTCTACCGAAGCACTTCACTTCGATATTTTCGACATCTCCCGTGGCTCCTGCGGTTTTCTTGCCGTACCAAATTTTGTTTTTGATATCGATAACGTAATTTTCTTCCGTGGTATGTACTTTTCTATTTTCTTGTATACACTTATATTTTTCTCTTTTTATTTATTTTTTTCTTTAATCAAAGGCCTCAAGCCTCCGATCTAACCGTCTCGCAAATTTCCTTATCGCTCTTACTTCTTTCTCGAAATCGGCTTCTGATGGGAGCACGTCTCGAGAGGGAGTAAGTCTTGGGGACGCGGATGTCTCCTACTTATAAAGACTTGGGCAAGACTTGGCTCTCCAATTGGTGTGTGTCTGCAAGAAAGAATCGCTCTCCGCAAGGATAGTGGAAGGGGACCCGTCGTCTTTCGATCGTAACATGCTCGACGCTGTTACACCTTATTACGAGGACCATGTAAAACTCGAATTATCAGCTAAGAATTTGGAGCCACCATGAACAATGACTCCCTAGATATGCGTGAGGAAAAAAAAATGTTATTGTCACGATGCAATTTTAATAAATAAAAAATTTTTCTTTAATGATATATTTTAATGATATATACTGGTGAAAATGTGGAATTTTATCCAAAACGTACTCGAGGAACATAGTAAAATCCCCAGTATCCAGTATATCTAGACATAGTGGAATTATTGGAATATTCAGAATGATTGACAATACGAAAATAATGCGTTGATTTGTATTTCTATGGGATTTATCTATGGCATCGTTCGACTGCCGTAGGGTGTTTGTGCGACAAGACAATAAATATCGTTCTACGACGTAACGTTGCTGTTTAGAAGGAATCCTTGAATAGGGATATAACTTTGCAAGTTGTTGATTTTCGCATGAGAGTTCTCCGCGTTACATAGCATTGTGGGAAAAACGCTTGAAAAATGGCCCTTTGTTCATGACAGGCATTGCGTACGAGCAAGTTCAATGGTTACCCTAGGCGTCGTAGATACGATGCTCGTTAGATGCTAGAGGATCGTCTTCTTCTTGGATTCACATGCCGTCGACCATTATCCTGGAATTCGCGGGAATCGCACGGCTGTATAATGCTGTTGTATTTGTTTCCGTTGTTTATCAACGTAATGGCAGGCTTCCAATGGATTTTCGTGCTTACATGGTACGTAAACGTTATCACAGGATTAATAGCGGTTGAACGACACTTGAAAAATATAATAAGTGATTTTATTAAAGAAAGCCCATCGGTAAAATATTATTTTAATATTAAATGCAATAAAGTGTTATTAATGTTATTTTTAATTCTTGCACAGGGCGATCGAATCGATCGTGACGTACGTGAAGGTCGTATGGCCAGACGTTTCGCAAAGTCTAATCCTCGTGTAATTTCTTTCTTGAAGAAACAGAAGACAAAAAATAAAGTAGGGATTGTACATACCTGGAAAAACAATATTGCAGTCGATATTAGGATTTCGGTACGTTGAACTAACATCTCCTGGAATAATCGTCGGGACGCGTATCGCGTGAGAAAACGCTCCCGGGTAGACGAACGTTTCGAGTCAGTAATGAGAAGTAATAAAATCATCCACTCTATAAGGAATACCAATGCTAAAGTGAATCGCCGAAAGTACGGGCTAACCTATAAATAAGCAGAGTGCAGTGATTTTCGCGGCGTGCCGTAACCTTTCTTTTTCGTGGTTCTCGCGCAGCTTGGTGAAACGTACGTGTTTTCATGGGACAGGAGCATGAGGGATTGAAAGAAAGAAAGAAGAAAAGGAGTAAGTAAAAGAGAACAGAGCATCCTTTAGTTTTAGTTCGTTCAGTTTTATTTGGTAAGATGAAGAAGGTCCAAAGAGCTACAAGGTGCAGCCACCTCGTTAATTCATCGCTTACCCGTGGCGCTGCGAACGCTTTTTTTTTTTAAAGCACGAAGTAAAAAGCCGTTGCACTTGTTACGTTATTTCGTACACGTATTACGACTCCGAAGCATGCAGACGCTACGCTCACAAATAATGGACCGAATTAAAGTAAGTTAAAGTGAGGTTATGATTTTTCGCTGACCGATAAAGGAATTTTACATGGATTAACTCCGGTTCCGGCGAATTTCACGCTGTCAATAACACCGTGGCATGAGCCGCGTATCGTATGATGCTCTTTCTCAAATAAAAAATCAACGAATATGATGGCTCTCATCCCGAGACGAATTTTAGTACGATATAAAAACAAAAGGGTGGTTTACAAGGAGCGACAGTGGCATTAAAAATAAAAATTCGTCGTTTTTATTAATACGAAAAGAGTAGCATCGCGTGTCGTAGGATATGCCCAGCTGGTTTACAGCTATTCTAAGTGAATTACGTCACTCAAAAATAACAATAAAAATTTTAAAAAATTACAAACTACAAAAATTGTCATATTCAACGAAGTGACGGACATTTACGTGTTCGTGATGTAAATTTGAAAAAAAAAAATTAGAAATTCATCACGAATCGTTACGACGATACGTAAAGTCGTTGCCAATAAAAATTTATTATTTACCGTGATCGATGTGTTCGGATGATGACAATTTAAAAATTGCCAGAAAATTATGATTAATTTTAAAATTCAATTACCGACTGGAACGGATTTCGGCATTGTTGAACATCTTCCCGATAGCACGTTGTGAATAATCAGTAAACTGGCTGCGTTGACTGTAGATAAGCCATCAGATACATTTATCTAGATACTAACTTGCGAAGTGCGTCTTCCTACGGGTAATCATTTGCCTGATAAAATAGTGTTAGTTGTTAATTAGTCAGGAAGTTGTCTGCAAGTCATGACAGTTTCCGGGCGTAGTAACATGGTCAAAAATAAAAATCGAATTCGTCAAATCGTTACCCGTGAATCCTCTTGAAGTTTCCTTGTCGTTGTTTATGTCCTTTTTTTTCATCGTTCGACCGCGTCCAAAAAATAGGCAATTTTTAAAACTTGCATATATCCCTGAGACCGCAAACGAGCCAGTTATCGTGCTGGTGTCAGGGGTGAAGGAAAGAAAAATGCAGGAATGCAACGGAGTGCAGTTAGTTAAATGTATCTTTTTAAATAACGGATTCAATTAGCGGAGCCTGCCGAAGTCGACTGTATTGCGGTCACTTGTTTTATTTACCTTGATCATTAAGAATTTGTTCGGGGAAGTTTTTCAATCGACATAAGAAGTTCATTCAATTAACGAGCGATGTTCGAGTTGATACTGTAAAAACGTGTAAAAGATGGATGGATTTTTGTCAGTGCGAACGAGTAAGAGGGAAAGAGGTAGGAAGGTAGACAAAAATAGGTTGATCTAATATAATAATAATTTTTTAAAATATTTTTCTCACATTCTTTCTCTCATAAATATTTTTAGGCGTCTTTCAAAATTCGAGCATTCACGTGGATTGTTGATTTGTATAAATTGTCAATAAATTATGTCTAATTTCGTCACGAGTAGACAAAACAAAGATTACATTTTAAATGAGAAGACGTGGCTGAGATAGACCGAAGGTTTTTGGCCAATCATCAAAGTTAAGCAATGCAAACGGAGTCCAGTGCTTGGAAGGGTGGCCACTTTGATTTACCTTGAAAAGAATTAATGGCGTGTTACAAGTAGTGCATTTTTTTTATTTAGAATTTTTTTTTCACGAATTTATTTTTTAAATATATTTTATGACGATAAATTCGATATCACATTCATATCTAAAATATATCTGAAATATATACGAGATACACAATACATATCTAGGATATACATTAAATATACTCAAAATATATATTTTCGCAATGTATTTTTTTTCATGGGGTATGCGCATACCATTGAGATATGCCAAACGGATAAAGTCCTATATTCAAACTGAATATCCATCCGGTGTAAACGAACCGAGAGGCAAATTCGGTAGTTAATTTACATAATCATATACAGGTGACGCTCTTTAAACTAAACACCGATTCTTTCCAAGCCATTCGAGATGATAAGAATCCGACTGGTTGGCGTTTTCAGCGAAAGAAATTCAAACATCGACAATCTGACGACGAGCTCCACCAGTAAGCTTTGGTTAAAAATGAGCCAAGGGTAGGTTATATAAAATGTTCATTTGTGACTGACAAATTTGACATAAAGAAGGATAATCCGAGGACGAGAAGAGAGACCCCTATAAAAAATAGTAAGTGATATTTACACGTGGAGATAATGCTAAAAAAAAAAGTAAACATACATAAGAAATTTGAAATTTTTTTTTTATTTCCTATCGAATCATCCAGGACATCGGGTGCTGTAATTAAATCGATTTTTCAATCGTACCGATCAAATCGACCATATAAATTGTACTGCAATATCCATTGAACAGTAGAGACCCGAACGAACGAGAAAAAAGGGAAAAACCAAAACCAAGGACTTTTTGGGGTTCAGTAACGGCTCGAACGAAGATGGCACGCGACGCAAATTGATTGTCAGAGTTGGGAACCGGTACGATTCTCAGGTCGAGTAACGTCATGGGATTTTGTTATTCAAGTCAGCAAGTTGTTTCCTTCTTGAAAAATTCATTTTACATACCCGGTATTTTTCGTCGCGGTCCCTATTGGCGATCGCGTCAATGTGACGTTTGAGGTTAATTACCGTCGTTTGAATTTCCCGCGAAAATTCATGGGTGCTTCTTTCCCTCGCCTCGGGCTTGTCTTTTCGTTCATGGCCGATGGATAAGACAAGGACGGCCATTAGATGCCAAGAGTGCAGGAGTAATCCAAAGCGAAAAATCTTGTCACAAAACGAGAGACGCCATTCGTCGCCGTTAGACGTGAAATTGCGTCAGCGATTGCACAGCTGACCGAGGTCAGCCATTTTTATTATTTTGTAGCTCGTGCAAGTCGCTAAAGTGTTTCCATAAATCATCCACCGGTATCGGTAAAGTCGCTGTCTTCTTATCGACGGAGGAGCACGTCTGCCGAGCATGTCTTTATGTTTCTGTGATTATTTCTCGGCTTTTTTAATCTAACCTAATTGTTTATCCTATTTCGAAGGTCCGTCGAGTACGCGTAATAAATTTGGATTTGATTGCTAAAAAAAAAAAAAAATGAAAAATCTTAGTTACGTATTTTCCAAAAGTTTTTTATATCCCCATAACGCATTTTTCTTTATTATTAATAACTTAACGAATCTATACTGGAAATTTGCCAATATATTTTTTTTCTTTTTTTGTTACCAGTTCTCGTTAAAACTCACTCTTTGATCTCCTTTTTTTTTTCTTCTTCCTTTATCATTATAATGGCGACTCCTCAGAAGTTTATCGCGATTCTAAGATGTTGATTCACTGCCAAAATTTATTTCGCGAATCACGATCATCCTCGAACCAGTTCCATTAACTGTATGCAGATTCGAGATTAATCGAACTGACGCCTCCAGAGGTTTGGTAGCTCATTTGCCTATCTTAATTTGACTTGATCTTAAACTGACGTTCCCAAATTATCCGCAGGGAGTCGCTTCCTGTTTTTTTTTTTTTTTTTTTTTTTTAAATAATTTCGCTATCAAAT